CATGCGTCTTGAAGGTGACGCAGCAGTTAAGCACTATAAATTTGGAGCTCGACTTCGTAGCTTAAAACTTAGTGCTCTTTGGTTCCCAATGGCGTTTTCTAAGACCGAAAATCACATAAGAATAAGGATTTTTGAAGTCGTGAGTTTATTTTGGCTTGCGAATTGTGCGAAACATTACAAATTGCATGTTTGTGAGACTCGTTTCTGAAAGCTCAAATTCAACAGCCAAACGCACAGGAGCAGCAAGTTCGGAGGCACAATTGCAACTTGACTAATGCCTGATCTTACCTAATTGGAGTGTACTGCACTCCTTTATGTGGCTCAAACTTTTGATTACCAAAAGCTGGAGTAGAACCACACAAGACTGACTCGACAGTGCTCTCTCGATTTGCCTTTGCCACCAATCTTTGCTGTCACCATGAAGCAAACCTTAATCCTCGCAGATCCCTCCTCTACCATACTGCTGCATTTATTTCACCAATCTCTGCTTGTTTAGTAGTCCACTGTAAGTTGAGTATGAAATCGCGTGGCTAGGCCGCCTATTCGGTCTTCAGTACATGCACGCATTTGTTCAGCCAGCATTCTACCAACTCTTTCCGATGTTCACTGTCACGTTGTTAATCAATTAGCGTCCGTAAAGTTGCCTGAAAGCTGAACTACTCACATGATTCGATGTCCACCTTACTGTGATGCCAAAAAAATCAACTTGAAACTCGTGGACATGTCAAAAAGGTATTAAATTCTACAGTACGTTTCACCAATCCACAGTTTACCGCAATCTCTTCCTAGCAGCCTCGCGAGACCCATGAATTGAACTGGTTCAAGTGACTCATCGCACTGACCATACAGTACTTCACAGGCATTTGATAGCCTCTAACGACCAGCACTAGACTCCTTGGTGCCACCCATATATTGCTTGGTTCACGATGAGCACGCGTAAAAACCTTCACAGCCCCATACAGCTTGCGAAAAGGCTCGACTGTTGAGAAAATGGCCTCTTTGGTGGGGCTATGAAATTAAACACCGGGAAGATCCAGTAATTTCACACCACGCACACATACACCGTGTGGAAACCAAGATAGAGGGATTTGAGAAGTCTTGTGGTGAGGCGTTAAGGCCATCAGCACTCCAACCACTCATCTTTACCTTTGTCAATGATATTCAACTTGTAAGGACTGTGATAGATGCCCATGGAGAATTTCGGTGCCCGGCGTCGAGTTATTCCGATCTAAAGGGAAGACGGAAAATAAGATGCACAATTACAATTCATTTTAAAAGAATAAAGGATATTCCGCAGTGCTAACAAAAACCTACATCATCGACATGATAATCAGCAGGACCGGGCATGATCTTTTTGGGGGTCGGCAGAGTAGCTCCCATGGAGAACTTGGGCGCTGATGGTTTGGTGATCTCAGGCGCGCCAATCGTGTAGTCGGCTGGGCCAGGATTCTGTTGCAAAAAGGAGAAAAGTGTCGATGACCTGTTGACACAATCTCTCCCCCTCTGAGTTTATAGCTGATCGTCTGATACGGTCAACGTTTTGAAGCATTTAGTTTTACTTTTATCATCGGCAGAGCTCTCAATCCTTGATATTTGTACCTGCGGCTTAGTGACTTGATTTTGCGGGATTAATAAGGTTGCATTTTCTTTTATTGGCACATCATGGAAATTTTCAACAAGATTTTTCGTCCCTTTTTATCAAAGTAATCTCATATTTGATCGTTAAAAGTGGAATGAGGAAGAGAATGTAACAAAAAGTCACCTTTGCTGTAGAAAGACTGTCATTTCGACCGCCCAAAGTGTACTGAGGTGCTGAAGCCTTCCCGCTAATAACATCCGGTCGAGGCAGCGAATAGGCATTTGGAGCTGTTTTTAAGAGGAGAATGGGAAATGAGAAAAAATGCATATCAAGCTTTCATTCTTACTGTCCGTTGTGGTAAAAATGTGCAAGCCGTGCCTCTACCTTCAAAAGTCAACAGTAAGAAAGGACGTCTTCCACGTAATAACGAACAAAAAAGATCACTAAATGTACTTACCAGGTCCGGTGTTCTTGAGAAGATCATGTGCTGCCAACCCAAACTGGTATCCTGGAGATCTTGGGTGCACTACATTGTCATTGGGAAGGTATTGAGCAGGTCCAGGTCCAGGTGTTGAGGCGTCTGGAAGTAATCTCTGTTTCAGACTGTAAGCCGGACCCTGCACGAGACCACGATTCGTCATCTTGCCGCTTTGAGGATAGGCAGCTGGCCCTGGACTAGCTTCATAATGCTGGCTCTTGTATTGATGGCCGAACGAATAGGCCGGAGCTTTTATGTGAATGCTCTCAAAATCGTGGTCCTTTTCACCCAATAGCGGAGGCAGCTTGTAGATTGGGCCAGGACTGCCGTATGTGGCATAAACCGGCACACGCGGCCGGGTGTATGGATAACCCAGTTTCTCCTCGCCCATTTTTGGACGGCCTGTCAGCCCTCGCCTGTGCTCGTCGAGTGGACCGCGCGCCTTCCACCTCCCCTCCCCCCCTCCTTCTCCTATCGATTGACGCGTGCGTGGCAGTCACCTGATCGGGCAAGTAATGCGAGAGAGACGTGTCACTTTGCGTCGCATTTGTAGATTACACGGATTGCGACCCAAACTGGTTGCAGTCCAACGCTAAGACGAGAAAAGACCTGAACCATCTCTATTTTACTGTTATCAATCCCAGAGGCAGAAGGCAATGGTAGTTCATCGTGTTCTCCCTTGTTCAATACTAAATTAGCACAAAAGGTGTTAAGCTCTTTAACAACCCAAACCTCAACAAAAGTGAAGACAATGATTAAAAATACACATATTTACAGCTGACAAATTCCACCGCAATTAG